GAGACAGAGAAGAAGTATAGGGAAAAGGTGGTGATACTGCCGGTAGTGCGAGCGAGCGAGTAAGCACTCTAGACTTCTCTCTTTCTTTCGCCACGCGCATGAAAATCCCGCAAGCTCGCAGACGCCGCGCGAGAGATAAAACCAAGCGAGGAGGCCGCCGCCGACAAACTCGCAGATTCAATTTAACGTTTTATATATATATATATATACCACCGGGGGTCCGTTGAAAAAAGCCAAAAGCACAGCGGCAGCAGCAGTCGAGAATCATTTATTTTGTATCGACCGAGCGCCCGATAAAAGCTTCCGAATTCGCCACGCTGTATATGTATACCCTGTAGCATTCATTCCTTTGGAATTTCCTTCGCCCCCCGCCTTTACTCTCCTTTCTTTTTTTTTTGTTACTTTCGGATAAGACGATGGGCTACAAAAACGAGTATCGAGCTTGCAGCAGCAGCAGCAGCAGCAGCAGCTCGGGCGAGGAGCGAAAAATACGGACGAGTAAAAGGCGCCCGAGAAAGAGTGAGGAAAGAGAACGAGGCGAAGAATATAGATAAGGTGTATATACCGTGGGCAGCGCCAGAAAGAGAGAAAGAGTGTTGCTTTACTCGTTGTTAGCCCCCCTCCCGTGAGCGAAGCTTTTCTTATTTTTGTTTTCCACGCGCCTCTGTGTATGTGTTTTTTTTTTGCATCGCCCTCGTTGTTGTTGTAACTACCTTTTTTTTTCGTTCCGTTAACCGGTCGTATATTTCACGTACACGTCGTTCAGTCCGGTGGTGTCCGACTACTACTACTACTACTACCACTCGTTCGCGCAGCAACACCAACCCCCCCTCACCCCCGCGCTTCGTCTCTTTTCAACACGAGCAGCCGCACCAGCACGAGCACCGCTATTTATACATCAGACTGTTCATAATCCGATGATCGACGACTATACCCCGCGCTGACCAATATTAAAGCTCGCGAGCCCCGCGCGCGTTGCATCGCATCGCGTCTTCTCGCAGCAGCAGCGGCAGCAGCGTAGCCTATATATCCTCTCTCGTGCACTAGCCCAGCTATTAAAACAGCACATTTATCACCTCGCTAAGGATGTATAGATGTATATATATATATGTGTACGGCTTTTACTCACACACAACGTATAAACGTGCGCGCGACGTGTGCCGCTGCAGCAGCAGCAGCAACAGCGAACGTTCATCGCCGCAGGTGTTAAATCAGCACTTCATATATCCTATAGATATAATAAATACACGTAGTCTCACCCTCTCTCTCTCTCTCTCTCTGTTTGTATGTGTGTATACACTATGAAGCGACGTCGACGCGGCATGGGTGATCTTCTTCGTCGTCGTTTTGTGGCCCCCGCGCCGATATAAATGGCTTCCCTTACGGTCATATGTTACGCGATGTTTGTCTATACATACAGCGTGTGAGTACGGCTATATATAATATCGCGATACGCATTTATTGTGTATGTGTGTGCGTGTCTGTGTGGGCCCTCGGCCAAAGCCAATTTTCGATATGCGCCACCACCCTCGGGTCGAGGCAGCAGCAGCAGCAGCAGCAGCAGCCGATCATCGCTCGTTGCGGCCGCAGAGTCTCCTATACTCTCTCTCTCAGTGTGTATTCGAATAAATATGACAAATGTGCGTGGGCTCGCTCGTTTGTTCGTATATAGATACACACGCGCATAAATGTGCGTCTGCTCGATGCCTTTTAAAAAATTAATTTATACATTTTATGCGCATAATCGTTTGTCCATACATTATCAACGAGCGATTATACGGTTTAATGATTTCGTACATTATATACATTTCGCTTCTGTGTGTTGCGGCCTATGTGTATCCGTTCAACTTGTCAATTGCACCATGATACCCGCGCGCTATGATAACGTCCTGTTTCCCCGCAGTACCTTTGATCACAATACATATAACGACGAGCGAAATTTAAAATTTTCATTAACTGCGTTGATCCCCGATTGATGTCCTTTCCAATCTATATATAGCCTCCGCAAGTTTTTATAATTTTTACAAATATTTGCGATGAGATTTTTTCCTTATAATGGCGTAGGTACACGGAAATCTTTTACGCAGCGCGCCACGATTTCGTAGAAAAAAAGCCCCGTACGCGCTCGGGAAAACTAAAGACGGAGAACAAAGGCAAGAAGCGTACGGTGTACTCGGACTAAAACCCGTGAGTTGTTGCAACTTTTCTGGAAATAAACGATCCCCGCGAGAGAGTGAGAGGGCTAGAGCAACTATAAGCCAGCAGCAGCAGCGCACGCAAAAAAAGGCAGCTCATGAAGCTATTTAGCCACATTAGTACTCGCAAGCTCTAGGCGCATGAAAAGAAGTAAAATGCATTTATCTTTTGTTGCGCGCGGGGTAGTTCTTACCTCGGTCTCTCCAGTCTCTCTCTCTCTCTCGGACTAGCTTAGCTCCGAGTACGCGCGCAGCGCGAAACCAACAAACGAACAACCAAAAAAATAGACTCAAAAAAAAAAGCTCGCAAAGCTCGAGAGGATAATTATATAAAATATGTACGGAGCAATTAATTTCGCCGTCTAAATAATACAACCGAAAGATAATGGACAAAACTCGCGCGCGCGCGTCGATGCGACGAGTAGTCGCTATATATTCAGGTGAAAAACTCGCGCTCGTGACGATATATCCAATTATTAAACGAAACGAAAGATTATTTATATATGCGAGAGAGAGAGCTTGCGCACCGTATAAGAAAGACACAAGGAGCTTTACGCTTAGGGCAGTGGTGAGCTTTCGCACATACCCACACGGACAAAGAAAGCTCGAGACACCGCGCGCGAGCTTGCATGAATTAATCAAAGCGTTTAAGGCACGCGCGACAATGCCAAATCCCCGAAATTGCCCGCAACGCGAGACAGCGAGCGAAACAAGTAGACGAGAACTACTCGAGTTTGCTGCTGCTGCGGCTTGCGAGACACAAACTGTGCTCCGCTCCGTATATATGCGAGGAGCTGCTGAACGTGTATGTAGTACGATATCGCGTTAGTAGCCGCTGCTCTTCGTCGAGTCTTGCGGGGTCTCGGCTCCTGCCGCAGTGTGTGTGTACGCGTCGTCCTCGTCGTCTCGGGAGATTTAAGCTTTAAAGCTACTGCCGCCTGCGCTGCTGCTGTGAGTTGGGTACCGGGCGCAAGAGCCGAGAGAGGAGGAATGTACCGAGGGGAACGACCAAGGCGACCATTAGCATATTTATTAGATGTCACTCACGTTGGTCTAGTTACCCAGATGAAAAGCATTTCCTTACTCGCTCATATATATATATATACGGTGGTGTGCGTCCGAGGCGTGCGTGATGCTGCTGCTGCACGTTGCGAGAGAGCTCGAGTTGCAGCTATAGTGCGTACATTATCATCATTAAGAAATTTGTGTGTGTGTGCTCGTGAGCGCGCGGTGTGTAATTACTTTTGACGACGTACTTTCTCCCTCGCTTCTGTCTCTTCTTCTTTTTCTCGCCTGTCTCAATTCTCTCTTGGTGCGGCGTATACGCGCGTCGTGGCTCGTTTGAATTAAGCTCTGTTTAATAATGACGATTCATCGCGGTCGTCAGCGCGAGTCATCGTTGATCTCGACGTTGTAATTCCCCGTCTCAATATGGCGGCGTCGAGAAACGTCGATTTCAATCGAACGCATTATATATACGCGTACACGCGAGATCTTGCGTGGGTGGCGCGTGCACACACACACGCACGCATAATAATATAATAATAATGAACGCAAAGCGCACGTATATCGGCTAATTAACCGTCTCGGTTTCGCTCCATTAGCGCGTACATAATTTAATACTTATTAATTTAACATCAAAGCTCCGTATACATATATTTTGAGCGAATCGGCGTACAATCGATACATAAATCAGCGCGCAGTTTTATCGCGCGTTTAAAAACGCGTCGTCGAACAGCAGCAGCAGCAGCCCATTAGTGCTCGCTCACTTTTTTCTTTTTATACCACCACTATAAATTATACATCAATCTCGCTCGCCGAGCTCCAGTATTAAATACGTGATCGATGAAGTAATTAAAAATTTCGCAGCCAATATATATGCGCGTGGGGATCGGGGGAGAGCTTGCGGAAGTCGGCGATTGCCTCTTGTCGAGTTGCCGGATTGTGTGTGTGTGTGTGTGTGTGTACTTTGTACGTCGATATACATGTATACAGTCGCTCGACTCCAAACTGCTGCCAGTTCGCTTATAAACATGCGCGACAAGTATCAACTTGCAAAAGACACATTATACCTGCGTCTCGGGGAGGCAGAGCACGAGTCGAGCGACAACTTCGCGATCGCTTACTCGAGTATAAGCTCGAGCAAATGAGTTGAAACGCGTATTACGTACACGATAGTGCTCGCGCACTTTTTCCGATGCAAAAATGAGATGGACTAGAATGTAGCGTGAGTATTTTGAGAATTGGTTGTAGAGTGGCGCTTGTAACGGAATGGGTCGATTTTCAGTTTATCGACTGTACAAGTGCAAGGTTCGATTCAGTTTCCAGTGATAGGAGGCGTAGACATAATTATGTTAAGAGACGAAATTCGTAGGGTTCAAGAATTTTATGAGGGATTTTTATTTATATATCACTTTGTATAATATAAAATTGATGACAATTCAAGAGGTTCGGGAAAATTACTATTTTCCTGTTTATAAAAATTGAACAACTTTTTGAAATAAATGTCCAGTTAGTACTAGTTAGTAGTTTAAAAACAAACTACATTTTAATAAGTATAAAGTCAGTTACTCTAGTTGCGGAACGTTGCAAAAGTAAAAATAAAAATTAGATGTTGTTTTTACATAATTAATAAGATAACATACTTATTAATTTTGGCGAAATTAATTATATCGTGATTAATAAAACTTGTGGACCAGGTTTTTGTTCAAATTAATTCGATTTTAAAACCTTACATTGCCATTAGTATTTAATAGATTTGAAAATTTACATGTTCTATAAAATTTAAATATTCTATACATAATCTGTTTACATGCTCTATAAATGATTCTCACAGTCCGTTTTATATTGTACATGTAAAATTGATCGAGATTATTGTGAACGGAGTTTTTTTAAAGTTATTGACCCGAGTTTACGTCTAATTGCTTTAAACAAATAGTAAATATTGGATTTTTTACCAAAGTCATCAAAAAATTTAAGAAGAGGCTCTAGTCCGCTCAGTATTAAATGGAAACATTAGACTTCATCATAAAAAAATTTGGGTTTTCGAAGCTCCTCCTTGTGTCAATGTCTATCCTCACATAGAATAGCTCTTATCAGTGATACCATATTGCATCGAATTATTATGAGTTTGGCGATTGGTTTTTTTTAAATTTCTTTCCATTCGTAGCGTGAAGGTAAATGCTTTATGTGGGTTTGGAGAGTGACTTGATGAGCGAATTTATTTCCGAATGCATCACAGGTTTGAGTGATACCTTGTGGCGATGATCGTACGTGCCTATTGAGATCACTCTTTTGTGCATACGTCTTTCCGCAGATATCACAGGTTTGGCTGATACCTTGGTTCAATGGGTTCACCATCGTGGTCAGGCTGCGACATTTCATCTTGATCTTCTTGTGGTGCAATTTGGTCTCGAGGCAAAATTGTCTCGTTGCCGGCGAATTCGACTCGAGCCTGGGCTGCCTCGGGCTGCTCCTGACGAACAGGTTCTGCTGGGATTTGGTCTCGAAGTTGCTGCTCGTTGGAGTGATTGGAGGCCGGCCTCGTAGCCGGGCTAGCTCGACTCGAACCTGGGCGGGTCGGTCTGGCTTCCGACGACGAGCTTGGGACTCTGTCCGTAGAGTGAGTCTTCATGTGGCTGCTGAGTCCATCTTGGCGATGGGTTGCGTACTCGCACAGTTGACACTTGTAAGGCTTCTGGACGGTGTGGATGCGCCGATGGTCCATCATTTCTTTGAACGTGCTGAACTGTTGGCCGCATTCGCGGCAGGTACAGAGTTTTTTCTCGGTGTGGATGCGCCGATGGGCGTTCATGACGTCTGACCTGTTGAACCCTTGGCCGCATTCGGGGCAGGTGTAGGGTTTTTCCTCGGTGTGGATGCGCCGATGGGTGTTCATGACGTCTGACCTGTTGAACCCTTGGCCGCATTCGGGGCAGGTGTAGGGTTTTTTCTCGGTGTGGGTGCGCATGTGTCGCTTAAGATTGCGTTCGTAAGGGTAGCTATTATTGCACAGGTCGCAGGGGTAGGGCTTCTTCCCGATGCATTTGAGCTTGTGTCGCTTACGATCTTGTTTACGGGTGAAACTTTTATGGCACAGGTCGCAGGGGAAGGTCCCGTCCTGGACGCTCTCACTGTTGCTATTGGTCGTCGTAAAAATTTACATCAATAAAATTTTTCAAATAAATTACGGTTTTGCTGTTTGCATGCTCTTTAAATTATTTTCACAGTCAGTTTCATATATTAATAATGGATAGAGCTTATTGTGAGCTCAGTGTATTTGAAGTTATTGATTCGAGTTTACGTATAATTGCTTCAAACAAATAGTGTATATTGGATTTTTTACCAAAGTCATAAAAAAAATTTAAGAAGAGGCTTCAGTCCGCTCAGTATTAAATGGAAACATTGGACTTCATAGCGTCATAAAATAGCTCTTATCAGAGATACCATTTTGCATCGAATTAATATGAGTTTGGAGATTAATTACTTTTAGAAACTTTTTTTCGCGCGGGGCGTGAAAGTAAATGCTTTAAGTGGATTTGAAGAGTGACTTAATGCGCGAATTTATTTCCGTATACATCACAGGTTTGGCTGATACCTTGGTTCAATGGGTTCACCATCGTGGTCTGGCTGCGACATTTCGTGTTGATCTACTTGTGGTGCAATTTGGTCTCGAGGCAAAATTGTCTCGTTGCCGGCGAGTTCGATTAGAGCCTGGGCTGCCTCGGGCTGCTCCTGATGAACAGGTTCTGCTGGGATTGCTCCCGACGACGACGACGACGAGCCTAAGACTCTGTCCGTAGAGTGAGTCTTCATGTGGTTGCTGAGCCAATCTATGCGATGGGTTGCGTACTCGCACAGTTGACACTTGGAAGGCTTCTGGACGGTGTGGATGCGCCGATGGTTTATCATTTCTTCGAACGTGATGAACTTTTGGCCGCATTCGGGGCACTCATTCTTGGGCTTGTTCCCGGTGCATTTGAGCATGTGTCGGTTACGAACGTTTTTATGGCTGTAGCTTTTATTGCACAGGTCGCAGGGGTAGGGCTTGTCCTGGGCGCTCCGACTGTTGCTATTGTTCGTCGTGCCGGACTCGAACGAGTTGTGGTGCGGCATCGAGTTGGGCGACGACGTCGATGGACGGGGATTTCCGGGCGACCAATTTCTCGTTGGTACCTTCGAGTCCGAGTGGCGGCGATTGACGCTGCCCTGAAGATTCAGCCGGTTCGCGCTAGGCCGCGACCTTTCATCTTGATCTTCTTGTGGTGCAATTTGGTCTCGAGGCAGAATTGTCTCGTTGCCGGCGAGTTCGACTCGAGCCTGGACTGCCTCGGGCTGCTCCTGATGAACAGGTTCTGCTGAGATTGCTCTCGACGACGACGACGACGAGCCTAAGACTCTGTCCGTACAGTGAGTCTTCATGTGTCTGGTAAGCCCATTTTTGCGATAAGCTGCGTAATCGCACAGTCGACACTTGAAGGGCTTCTCGCCGGTGTGGAGGCGCAAATGGATGTTCATGTCGTCTAAGCTGTTGAACCCTTGGTCGCATTCGGGGCAGGTGTAGGGCTTGTTCTCGGTGTGGGTGCGCATGTGTCGCGTATGATCGTATTTTCGGGCGAAGCTTTTATCGCACAGTTTGCAGGGGTAGGGCATGTTACCGGTGTGGGTGAGCATGTGTTGCGTAAGATCGTATTTTCGAGTGTAGCTTTTATCACACAGGTCGCAGGGGTAGGGCTTGTCCTGGGCGCTCCGACTGTTCCTATTCGTCGTGACGGAATGGAACAAGTTGTGGCGTGGCATCGAGTTGGGCGACGACGTCGATGGACGGGGATTCCCGGGCGACCAATTGCGGTACGTCGGTACCTTCGAGTCCGAGTGGCGGCGATTGACGCTGCTCTGAAGATTCTGCGGGTTCTCGCTAGGCGTGCAGGGCTGCAAGATAAACTGCATTAGATGACTGTCGAGTAAAGTAACAGTGTTCGTTCCTATTTCATTTTCCTTGACGGATTCGCTGTCGATTTGCGTTTCCAATTCATTTGCATCACCCTCGGTAACTTTTTCTTCTATATCTTTAGTTTCTGTGTTAATGATGTTTCTAGTGGAACCATCTCCGCTGAAATCTGTTTCCCGTGAGTCGTTCGGCGAGTCATCCTCAATGACTGCTAGTGAATTATAGGTCTGTCAGAAAATCGAAATAAAATATGAAATAGTTTATAAAGAAATAATAGAAATACTGGTCTGTCAAAATAATAAATTGTTACAGAATTATTTTCTTGCTGAAATTGGGAGAGCTGACTATTGTTAGTATCGGGCGAATCGTCAAACACATTGTGATCATTGACGATAAGCAGCACCTCACTAGCTTCTTCTCTTATTCTGTAATAATGTCGATACAGTCATGTTTTATGTTATATTCTCGTATTTTTATTTGAATTTTACCTGTCTGCACCGTCGGATGAACCGTTATTTTCCATCTTATTCTGTAAGATTCTCATATACGACTAATCTTTCTGTACTAGTGTTGATTTCTAAACTCGCTTTCATTGATTTTAATAATATTTAGGAACCATGCCTTGAAAATTGAAATTAGGTGATGTGAACATGTCAAAACAAAGTTATTATATCATTTAATCAATCTCCTACTTTAATTATACATTTTTCTTCTCTTGTTTTTTAGTTAAAAACATGTAATAAGTTGTGCAGCTTTCGCATATTTGTGATATTGAGATCAATCCTATAAGATGAGGTGAATTCGCTTCAAAAGTGTGATATCGCCCCCAAAAAAATATAATAGAAAATCAAATCGAACGATCTAGAAGATCAGAGCTCTCTCGCCGAGCTCCGGTATTACATACGTGATCGATGAAGTAATTAAAAATTTCGTAGTCAATATATATGCGAGCGGGGATCGGGGAGAGCTTGCGGAAGTCGGCGATTGCCTCTTGTCGAGTGGCCGGATTGTGTGTGTGTGTGTGTGTGTGTGTGTGTACTTTGCACGTCGATATACATATACACATGGTTAATTCTCCCGAAGTCTGCTTTTTGCATGTCTTTATGCCATATTCTTAAACTAGTAAAGATGAGCCAAAACTGGCTCGGTCATTCATTCAATATTGTTGTATTCTTCATGATAGGACATAAATATTTCAATTTTTTAGGGTCAGTTAAATTTGCCGTGAAGATATACATGCCAAATGTCACCTCCGTGGCATGTCTACATCTCAAAATCAACTCTATTTGCATGTATCGTGCATTCTCATTAGCATCTGACCCTATAATAACTATGAGACCAGCTTCTATACATCCAGAGTAAAGTTTAAGTCTATTATAGGGCTTTGAAAAATGTTTTAAAAAAATTTCCCACGCAATTGAAAAATGTCTCGGATTTTAATCATGCTTCTGAATAATTTCAAACATACCGCCTGCTTTGGGTCGCTAACTCATTTTTGATGTCGCTAGATACGTAAATGTCAAGTATTATAGCCCAGCTTTCGATTGGTGTAGGTTGCGGGTTCAAATTTTACATTTTATCGATGCTGCGATAATTATTCTATTAAAAAATTCACGTGTGTCAAAAAGACTGTCACCTCCGTGGAGATGAATATTTCGAGCTATAATGATTCTTTTTAACCGCTCGCCCCGTCAAAAGACTCGTTTTTCATGACCAAATTTCGGGTTGTGCGGAAAGTTTTGTGCGTTTCTTATTTTTCTTACATAGTTGATCAAAGCAGCGATTTGTCACCTCCGTGTGTGTCACCTCCGTAACCGAAAATAGTCGATTTTAAGCATAAAATCGGACATAGTTTTCGTAAAACGAAATCTCAAAGCCCCAGATTCAATAATTATTCATATTTTATGGTTTAAAAAAGGGTAAACTAGTTCGCGCCGTTCAATATGACAAAAAAATTTTCACCATTTTTTCGTTTTCCATACCCGAAAAAGCAGACTTCGGGAGAATCAACCATTTACAGTCGCTTGACTCCGAACTGCTGCCAGTTCGCTTATAAACATGCGCGACAAGTATCAACTTGCAAAAGACACATTATACCTGCGCCTCGGGGAGGCAGAGCACGAGTCGCGACAACTTCGGGATCGCTTGCTCGAGTATAAGCTCGAGCAAATGAGTTGAAACGCGTATTACGTACACGATAGTGCTCGCGCACTTTTTCCGATGCAAAAATGAGATGGACTAGAATGTAGCGTGAGTATTTTGAGAATTGGTTGTAGAGTGGCGCTTGTAACGGAATGGGTCGATTTTCAGTTTATCGACTGTACAAGTGCAAGGTTCGATTCAGTTTCCAGTGATAGGAGGCGTAGACATAATTATGTTAAGAGACGAAATTTGTAGGGTTCAAGAATTTTATGAAGGATTTTTATTTATATATCACTTTGTATAATATAAAATTGATGACAATTCAAGAGGTTCGGAAAAATTACTATTTGCCTGTTTATAAAAATTGAACAACTTTTTGAAATAAATGTCCAGTTAGTACTAGTTAGTAGTTTAAAAACAAACTACATTTTAATAAGTATAAAGTCAGTTACTCTAGTTGCGGAACGTTGCAAAAGTAAAAATAAAAATTAGATGTTGTTTTTACATAATTAATAAGATAACATAAAAATTCCCTAAGATATTTTGGTAGTCGTGATCACCCCTGATCATATTTATATCGTGATTCCCTAACGGTAACATGGTGAAAAAAAATCAAAAACTTGATTTTTGGCAAAAAATTTTACGTTTTTTTTCGTATAAGTAGCCATAACTTTTTTATTACGCAAAGAATCGAAATTTCAAGCTCAGTTTCTGAAAGAACATTAAATTTTACATCTAAACAGGTCCATACGAAACTTTTTGGAGGCCTCAAACTACAAAAAAAATCGCTGCGAAAACCAACAAAAAAATCGAGCATTTTGGTCGTTAATGGGTTAATTAGATTTTAAAACCTTACATTGCCATTAGTATTTAATAGATTTGAAAATTTACATGTTCTATAAAATTTAAATATTCTATACATAATCTGTTTACATGCTCTATAAATGATTCTCACAGTCCGTTTTATATTGTACATATAAAATTGATCGAGATTATTGTGAACGGAGTTTTTTTAAAGTTATTGACCCGAGTTTACGTCTAATTGCTTTAAACAAATAGTAAATATTGGATTTTTTACCAAAGTCATCAAAAAATTTAAGAAGAGGCTCTAGTCCGCTCAGTATTAAATGGAAACATTAGACTTCATCATAAAAAAATTTGGGTTTTCGAAGCTCCTCCTTGTGTGAATGTCTATCCGCACATAGTATAGCTCTTATCAGTGATACCATTTTGCATCGAATTAATATGAGTTTGGCGATTGGTTTTTTTTTAAATTTCTTTCCATTCGTAGCGTGAAAGTAAATGCTTTATGTGGGTTCGGAGAGTGACTTGATGCGCGAATTTATTTCCGAATGCATCACAGGTTTGAGTGATACCTTGTGGCGATAATCGTACTTGCCTATTGAGATCACTCTTTTGTGCATGTCTTTTTGCAGATATCACAGGTATGGGTGATACCTTGGTGCAATGGTTTTACCATCGTGGTCAGGCGGCGACGTTTGATCTTGATCTTCTTGTGGTGCAATTTGGTCTCGAGGCAAAATTGTCTCGTTGCCGGCGAGGTCGACTCGAGCCTGGGCTGCCTCGGGCAGCCTGACGAACAGGTTCTGCTGGGATTTGGTCTCGAAGTTGCTGCTCGTTGGAGTGATTGGAGGCCGGCCTCGTAGCCGGGCTAGCTCTGCTCGAACCTGGGCGGGTCGGTCTGGCTTCCGACGACGAGCTTGGGACTCTGTCCGTAGAGTGAGTCTTCATGTGGTTGCTGAGCCAATCTTTGCGACGGGTTGCGTACTCGCACAGTTGACACTTGTAAGGCTTCTGGATGGTGTGGATGAGCCGATGGTTAATCATTTCTTCGAACGTGCTGAACTTTTGGCCGCATTCGGGGCAAGTTTTTTTGAGCTTGTTCCCGATGCATTTGAGCTTGTGTCGCGTATGATTGTATTGTAGGGCAAAGCTTTTATCGCACAGTTGACACTTGAAGGGCTTCTCGCCGGTGTGGGTGAGCATGTGTCGCTTACGATCTTGTTTTCGGGTGAAGCTTTTATCACATAGGTAGCAGGGGTAGGGCTTGTCTTGGACGCTCTCACTGTATCTATTGTTCGTCGTGACGGACTCGAACGAGTTGTGGCACGACATCGAGTTGGGCGACGACGTCGATGGACGGGGATTCCCGGGCGACCAATTGCGGTAAGTCGGTATCTTCGAGTCTGCTGGGATTGCTCCCGACGACGACGACGAGCCTAAGACTCTGTCCGTAGAGTGAGTCTTCATGTGGTTGCTGAGCCAATCTTTGCGACGGGTTGCGTACTCGCATAGTCGACACTTGAATGGATGGATGAGCCGATGGTTTATCATTTCGTCGAACGTGCTGAACTGTTGGCCGCATTCGGGGCAGGTGTAGGGTTTTTTCTTGGTGTGGGTGCGCATGTGTCGCTTAAGATTGCGTTCGTAATCGTAGCTATTATTGCACAGGTCGCAGGGGTAGGGCTTCTTTCCGATGTATTTGAGCTTGTGTCGCGTACGACTTTGTTTACGGGTGAAACTTTTATTGCACAGATTGCAGGGGTAGGGCTTGTCCTGGGCGCCCTCACTGTTGCTATTGTTCGTCGAAGTGGACTTGAAGGAGTTGTGGCGCGGCATCGAGTTGGGTGACGACGTCGATGGTCGGGGATCCCCGGGCAACCAATTGCTCGTCGTCGCGTCCGAGTCCAAGATAACAGTGCTCGTTCCCATTTCATTTTCCTTGACGGATTCGCTGTCGATTTGCGTTTCCAATTCATTTGCATCACCCTCGGTAACTTTTTCTTCTACGTCTTTAGTTTCTGTGTTAATGATGTTTCTAGTGGAACCATCTCCGCTGAAATCTGTTTCTCGTAAGTCGTTCGGCGCGTCGTCCTCAATGACTGCTAGTGAATTCGGGCCAGGCCTTGGGCGAAACAACAAAAATTCCGTTAAGTCCAATGAGACTCCCTGAGGCGAAGAGGTCTGTCAGAAAATCGAAATAAAATATGAAATAGTTTGTAAAGAAATAATAGAAATACTGGTCTGTTAAAATAATAAATTCTTACAGAATTATTTTCTTGCTGAAATTGGGACAGCTGACTATTGTTAGTATCGAGCCAATCATCAATCACATTGTGATCATTGACGATAAGCGGCACCTCACTAGCTTCTTCTCTTATTCTGTAATAATGTCGATACAATCATGTTTTATGCTATATTCTCGTATTTTTATTTGAATTTTACCTGTCTGCACCGTCGAATGAACCGTTATTTTCCATCTTATTCTGTAAGATTCTCATATACGACTAATCTTTCTGTACTAGTGTTGATTTCTAAACTCGCTTTCATTGATTTTAATAATATTTACGAACCATGACTTGAAAATTGAAATTAGGTGATGTGAACATGTCAAAACAAAGTTATTATATCATTTAATCAATCTCCTACCTAATGAATTGCGAATGGGCTCATAAAAATAAATATATTCTTATACTTTAATAATACATTTTTCTTCTCTTGTTTTTTAATTAAAAACGAGTAATAAGTTATGCAGCCTTCGCATATTTGTGATATTGAGATCAATCCTATAAGATGAGGTGAATTCGCTTCAAAAGTGTGATATCGCCTACAAAAAAATATAATAGAAAATATAATAGAAAATTAAATGGAACGATTTAGAAGATCAGAGTTCGAATAACATGAGATGTGTCGATAGACGAGTTGCAGGCGACTCGCGTCACCAAAGCAGAGACAAAGAAGCAAGTCTCACGAAAACAGAGTTCCTATAGTTTTTTAGCCGCTGAAACCGTTGCTAACCTAAAATTACACTTCGAAAATCTTGTAACTGAAAATTTTGATCTGTCTTGTTCGCGACTCTGACCAGTGCGGGTCTTTTTTCAGTGTCCTCTGTTTCTGTGCCACAGCCTCTTTGTCTCTGCCTCTGTGCCACGACGCCTCCAGCCGTCTGCACCAATGATCTTCAACAATCTACTTATAAAAAAGAGATGGACCTCAAAGTGAAGCATCGAAAAACGACGTCTGATTGGCTGACACTGACGACGACACTCGACGTGAGCCGACTCGATACGAGCGCCTGCGTTGCAAACTGTTTTAACTTTGACGCGCGCGAAGCGCGTTTGAAATTTACTATTTCTGAACTATTTCTGAATCTTTAACTAACCTCAAAACACGACTGAAAAAATTGATACTCGCGAAGCGCGTTTAAAACGTCTTGTGTAAGTCATAAATTGTAATAAATCCTTTTCTATTTCGAAATGCTTGTTTCTAACTTCATTTATTTTTTTTCCATCTCTAAATAATTTAATCTCTTATAAAACAATACAACTCCTAATGTCATCACATCACCTGAGGCGATCAATGGGTAACCATTTCGCCTTGTGGAAAGTGACCCTCCTTCCCTCACTACGTTTTATGATATTTTAAACTGCATAGATACACGGAAGTATGCCAGCGCTATAAGACGTCTCGTCTTGGCACTAATAAAAATACATACAAGACCACAGTAACCGTAAGGTTGCAAAAGTCCCGTCTCCCGATGTGACAAAAGTTTCTGGTGAAAACTTAATTAATCCTTTGTTTAAAAATGATAAGCAGTTCTGTTTAACGTGTCTCCACACGCTTTTTACCAGTTCTAGTTATCAGCCATGAAAATTGTATAACATGGATTGCGTATGGTTTTCATTTTACAACGTTTCATGAGGTCTCGAAGTCCTTTAAAATTATTTTGGATATTTCAAGTATTTTTCACCAATTTTAATTGATAAAAAATGTCCTTATTATGAATAAAATATCATAATTATATGAAATAATTTTTTTGTGCACATTGTTGAGTCTAATAGCCTGGTAGAAGTGCTCAACATTTATAATTAATGCTCAAAAAATGGTAATTTTGGAAATGTTTTAAATTACGTTACCAATAACGGTTTGGTTTTTTCTGTTTTTCATATTTAAAAATTTGAATCAGTTTTCAACCACTTGAGGCACAATAATGCACTTCAAGCCTCAACCGCTAGATGGCGAGTACCTTTATGTGAAAATCTGCAAGTGGCAAAGCAATAATAACTGTATAATATAATATTTGACTAAGTAAAACGCAGAAAAAGTAGCCATGAAATTTTGAGAATTTCTATCAGAATACCTGTATATTGGCGAAACAATTAATGAAAAACTCACCCGATCACGTTATACGAAGAGACAACGATGCAAAGCTGGATATTATCAATGACACTTATTAAAGAATCAATACGCTCTGTGAGTTCCAAATTGACGACAGAGCGTATAAATTCTAAAATGAATATCGAGATAATTAAATTGCCGCTGCAGACGTCGAGTCGTCGTCGTCGCTGTTGTTTTTCCTTGCTCCTAGCTGCTTCCACTAATGCTGCAAAAGATACAAAAGTGCGGAATCTATCGGAAAAAAATAATTATGAGCGAGTAAATTTTTTAAATTTTTATTATAGCGTTTCTATAATAAATGTACAACTTCTCATACATTTCTTTATTTTCAGTTTGCTTAAACAACTATAATCCACGATTTTTCTTTTTTTTCGCTTTTTTTTTTTTTATATTTGTTCATTGCGTATGTGAGTTGTCGGTGTGTGTCGCGTGGGTGTGTCTGTGTCGGCATCATCAGTGTTAAATAATACGCCATTTTCAAGAGGTACTCGTAACGTGGATACAGTGTAGGCAATTAGATAATAATATTCAAATCGTTTGTTTGTTTTTTTTTGTTTTAAGCACTCGAAAGGGTAAAAGTACCCGACTTGAGCTTCGTCGACGTCCCGCAGTTATCAAAATTTTTAATAAATTATTAATTCCCACTTCGCGTAAATGTACATAAATTTGTTTTTATATTATCATATACACGTTACAATATTGAGAGCGTGAAAGACTTTGAACAGGATTAGACCAAAGCTTTGACTACGTGTTACGTTCATTATTTTACGGTATATAATGTAACGGAAAATCGTGACAGGTAGACAATTGGACCCCTCGATGAAAGATGAGAATCGCGCGACATCTTCGGAAAAACATCCTCACTTTCTCGTCTATTGGTTAAAAGGTCACATGAGTTTATATAGTTCAGGAAGTTTTATATACGTATAATCTTGCGGGTCATCGACGAGATTTTTTTCGAATGGTACGCCATCAATCTACAAACATTCGATCAAGTCGCATTTTTTATATCTTTTTAAATTTCTTTCCTTAAATTACTCCTTCGAGTAAGCCTTTTATGCGACACGTGTATGCTCCTTTTCTCCTTCTTTAATTTCTTTTTTTGCTTTGTATCTGCCAAATTTTATACCATTTGTGAAGTTAGCGTGCGATTCTTAGTTCGTTCTTGTTAATCTTATCTAAAGAAGCGCTTTATATTGTTTAATATATAAGTAGTAATACATATTTAAATCTTTTATCTTTTATATTTTTATATGAATAAAAGTAAAATTTCAATCACCAACGAATCTCGATTCTACGATTGAATAACAACGTATCATAGATTTCATATTATGTTTTAATTTTCTCATAATAAGCTGGAAACAAATTTGATTTTAAATGTATAATTAGTACCTATTTAAATTTAATTCAATTTTTTTCTTCATAACGTCATGTAATATATCATCTTTTACAGGCTACTCTGAAATAATCGGTCGTAATTTTTCAATGGATAATTTATTTAGACGATTTTTACTTTAGATTAATTGTATTATCAGAGTTTACTTTTAGAATTTACTTGTCAACGAGAATCATTGCTTTTAATATTACGAATGCGATACAATATAATGATCACAACAGACTGTCGTGTAATCTGATGGTACTGGATTTGAAATTTATTTTATTTTATTTTTTTCGTTTTATTGGTACAGTGGAAGTCAAAAAGTTTTTGTTGCTTATCTCGGCTTTTACATGTTATATATTTATATATTTTTTTACCTATGTCCTTCTGAAAGAAATATGCATTTCTTTTTTATCTTTAATCTCGACTCTGGGATATCTCGTCGGGTTGGTACGTATGTAAGAAATGCATATTTTTTATGGTAAAGATTTTAAAAAGTTGCCTCTACGCGTTATAATCATACATTTTATTTTTTTATTGTAATTTACTATTATTTTTATTTATTATTTTATTATATCGTATCATATTCTACGTGCACACACCAAGATCACTGGTAGAAAGCACTAGTTTTTTTTTATTGTTTATTTGTAGTTTTTTTGTTTTTTCTTTTTTTTTCATATCGAGAGAAAAAGTTGCTCTGGCAAATGCGTGTGTTTTTGAAATGAGCTTTATATAGACTATAACAATTTTAATGTGATCGTTTCAACATTCATAATATAATTCCTTATATAAATTTGAGTCGTTGGAATTTCATGGCAAAATATTAAAATAGCTAACTGCAGTTGCCTCAATAATAACTTGGAGTAAACGTAAAGTATACAACATCTATATTGTGAAAATGTTACAACGGCGAAGTTTTCGTAAAAATACGTGTATTTACAACATGGAATTTTATGGTGGTATAGTTTCGAGGTGCAATTGTTCTCATATGAGCGAAGGACAGTTATATGTGCCTCAAAAGTAAGAGTATGGTTTCACGATTGAAATTGAATAATTGACTCGTGATGCCATTATTTTTCCCCTTCAATTTACTAAATTTTGATTTTTGTCGACGTAAGAATTTAATCGAACAGATTTAAATACTGAAAATCGTGAGTAATACATCAATTAATCTCTCGTTAAATAGACAATAAGACGTAACGTTATATACTCTGAATTTTAACATTCAACATGACGCATCGCGATACATCAATATTTATAATATAATAACGAAAATATTCATCATCGACCTCGAAGGCTCAATAAGTAAAATACAGCACGCATCGATGCAAGATCATAACGCGATGCATCAAATTTCTTATCGAACAAAAATCTGTACGCGTTCGATCGGCGTAAACCGTATGGAATAAAAACAGAGATGAAATTCAACAACATTATAATATAACCGTCGCGCGTTCTCGTACGCGATACGCGATAAAGTCGAAACGACGACGACCGCCGTTGTGCGCGCGCCCCTCGTAAAAGTCGATCGATGTTTCGTGTCGCGCCGACGACATTCGTCGTATAAATATATTCTTCTTGTACGCGCAGGTATATGAGTGCCGTACAAAGTGCGTCCCGCGATTGCGAATACGCGGCGACGTCCTCCGGCAACAACGGTAGCGGCAGCAGCAGCACAGACGATCGAGCTTACTTCATTCGAATTTCAGATGTAGAGGCTTTTGTCGAGACGAGCTCAAAGAGAGAAGAAGAAGAAGGAGAAGAAGAAGAAAGCTCGAATCAATTTATATCCGGTGCGCGCGCGGGGTGGACAAAGGATGCGATGTGTATCGCGCGGCTCGAAGTTTGTCTTGCGTCCGCGCGTTTGATCACGTATAATATATAAGATCGTCTAGCCCCGTCCTTTCTGGCAGTGGTATATACAAAGCGGATGACCAAGAGGTTATTTCGCCGCATACGCATAGACGAGCACACGCGCCTGTGTAATATGGTCCTTTTAAAACCCAAACAAAAAAGTTGTCTAGTTGATGCATATCTCTACGTGTGTGTCCGCACGCATTTGTCGAAATTCGTCGCGTATAATATCGAGTGGACGATATCGTGTCCCTTTTTATTTTCTCGTTCTCTCTCTCTCTCTCTCTCTCTGTTTGTGTTTCGCCGTATGTAACGAATAATGACATTTGAAATGCAGAATACCGATATAAATACGAGCTTAACAAGTGTATACGTAAAGCTCGAAAGCACGAGCTTTTTTTCCCTATATAGTCTAGCCTGTGTCGCATTCTCGTTGCTCAACGGCGATTCTCTCTCGTCGCTAATTCGATTTTTATTGCATTCCCACAGATTGAGAGAAACATCCTTTGGTATGATACATCTACTATATACGGGCCTATATCATCCTCCTCGTCGAGCCTCCGCAGCAAAAGTTGATTTAAACCGTACGCGCGAGCATCGAAATGTAACGCGGCGAGTACTTCGTATTATATCGAGCCGAAATTCTTTTTTAATTATTAGAAAATTTTCCAACCGACCGACTATTATGCGCGTTCATTACAGTGCGACACAATTTTCGAGCTCTTCCATAGCCTTACACGATCTCGGCGTACGCAAAACTTTCTTACATTACCTTCGTTATTATACGTGTAAGCTCGCTCAGCGCAGCAAAGTTCATTATTACACAAGCCTAAATTAATGCCCGATATATCGCTCGCATATATAGTTTTCGCGAAAAATCTAATTCGTGCCCGAGCGAGCGAGCGAGCGAGAAGGAGCGGCAGCAAGGGTCAAACTTTCCGAATAAATTGAATTTCTTGCCTGCACACACACGGAGGGGGTATAGCTTGCGGCCATATAACGCACCGGTATACGTAGGATATAACGTTGATCGCGCGTGAGCGAGGCGCGTTAGTTACAAAAAACTTGACCGGCTCGGGCAGCTGAAAGGGCCGCGTGATGTGTGCAGCTGCCGACTAGCGAGCGAGAGAAAAAGTGGCGAGAAGAGAAGACGCAAAAATGGAAATTTTGCGAGGTGTCAGCTTTGCGCACCCTCGGACAAAAAAAAAAGAAGAGAAGAAAAAGAGAGCAAGGTGAGCTTGAGCGAGAGAGAGAGAGAGAGAGAAAACAAAAAGCAAAGTGCTGAATGGCCTCTTCAAAATTCGCGTGTAAATGTACACTCACGCGCTCTTGCGGAGCTTTTTTTCGCGTTTGTTTTGTTATACACATACCGTACGTACGTATTTCTCTTCGCGCTCGATTTCGGCACGCACGCACAAACACACACACACACACACACACACACACACACGGCTTTCCACAGCTCGCGTGATATCTCATTCGAGATTTTTGATTTTTCCACGGAAAAACAGATTCAAAGCGCGTCCAGACCAGCCAGAAAAAATAGCCGCTGCGATTATTATACATGCGAAGACACGATCGAATATTGTTTGCGCGTCGATTCGATCTCTTGCGAAATCGCACAAACGTACCGAGTTGCCGCGCGAGTTTTCGGGGCAATTTTGCGGTTTATTAAATCGTTTAATAATTATTAATTAATTAGCTCGTCGCGGAATACGCGCGCATAATAATAGCTGTACGTTTGTAGTATGTTCGTTGCTGCTGCCGCTGCCGCTGTGTGAGACCGTCCATTCGTGGCAACAATTTTCACTTCATTGGATCTGCATTCGAGCGTGATGCACACACACACACAAACCAGTGCCGGGGCTTAAAGCTCTATAGCTGCGGATGCACACGCATATAATGTACGCATTCACACACACGCGCGCGTTTTTATACATGGGATAATTTATTTTTGTTGTTGTTGCACCTTTTTTCTGAAGCACACTCGTGCCCGGATTGACGAACATTTATTTAGTAGTTATTTATGCAATTAGAAGACGCTCCCTTAACTTAGATATAATTAGTGATTTTTCTTTTTTTTTCTTCTCAGAGATCAACACAGTACGTTAATAATAATTATAATTCAATAACAATCATAATTGTACGATATTTATCCTATCTACAATTATATTCGATAAATCATTCTCATGATTTTTGGTAAAATATATACGAGTAATAACACGGAGTATTAAACATTCAACGAACACTAATACAATTTATAAATAGCAAAAAGAAGATCGTATTATTAATTCACCGGTTTTTTTTTTGTCAAGTGCAATTCCATTTATTCGCGTTTTATATCGTTATGTGGATGCACCTATATTATCATCGTTACAATAATTGCGTATGGTAGCGCATAGCGTTTAATCTTGTGTCCTTTATTCAACTAGGATGCATTCGGTACAATAATAGGAGAGAGCAAGAGAGGCACCATTTCGAATTCTCAATTTAAAAGTTTATGGCTTTTCTCGCTTGTGTGTTTTTTTTTGTCGCGTTCAGCTACGATGATAATAGAAACGTAAAACGAGCCGGCGTACGAATTAATCGGATCAGTAATTTTTCTTCCGTTCCATAATACACGCGCGTACGTATTATATGCTCGCTATCCGTTATATCGTCCTCGACGAGGAGCAGAAGAGAAAAAATCGATGGTAAAAGGTGTGTGCGCAGGCTACACACGTTTCTCAGATTATGCGCGAGAACGACGGTGTACTTACACTCTCTCTCTCTCCACTATCACGCAAAAGAGAATCGGAGATTAAAAAAAAAAACCTCTCCTCCTCGTGCATTCGGTTCGAGCGTGAAGCGCAGAAACGAGTAATATAGCGCGTGCATTTCCGAGTATATCCAAGTGTTAAATCGCGATGAGCTTTTTTTGCTGGCGCTGCTATCGAGGATCTTTCCTCATTCACAATCATCATCGTACGCTCGACTCAACGAAACGAGTAGTCCTGCTATAACATATTTTATACTTTTTTTTTCATATTTATATAATTATATCGATATAATTAATGACGATCCGTGTGCACGTAATGTGTAATCCACCGGCGATGGCGGTGGGGCGACGACGACGACGATAGTAAAATATTATTATTATTATTATTATTAATTTATGTTATTATTGGATGCGCAGCAGCAGCAGGAGCAGCTTAGCCGTGAAGCGGACGCGCCATCGCCGCCGACGCAGCCGGGAGCGCGACCAGAAGGAGGCCAGCGCCGAAGCCGAGACGACTCGTCGTCGGGGCGCTGTTGCAGCCGTCCTCCTTGCAGCAGTACGTCCTCGTGCTCCAGGCCTCTGCAACAGAAACAGCGAGGGATGTCACGTGAGGCCCTTTAACATTTTTTTTTTTGCAATGTAGGGGAAGACGAAGAGAGAGAAAAAATAGTTTCGAGGAGGAATCGTCCGATTTATTGTATAGCTTATATTATTAAATTATTTACAGATTACAATTATAATTATTTATAATAAAAATAGCGTCAGTTGTTTCCCGCCAGAGCTTTGGCCTTCTCTTTCAGATACGGCCTCATGATCTTTCCAGTATCTGTTTTCGGCAGCTTTTCCAAGAATACCACTCCACCGGTGAGCTTTTCATTTTCTCCGTTGATGGCCGACAACGTCACGAGTTCCTCCTCCGTCACCTGTGCATGGAAATTTCATTCATTTTCCAGTCGATGTAAAAAAAAAAAAAAAAAAAAAACTACGAAAGAAATGACTTTACGTTGGAGCCGGGAGCTTTTATCACGAAGGCGATCGGCCGCTCGACGTCTATCTCGTGGGGCATCGGCACGACCGCGGCCTCCATCACGCCCGGATGCGTGTGCAGCAGCTGCTCGATGTCGCTCGGCGAGACGGCGTAATTGCGACACTTGATCATCTCCTTGATGCGCTCGACGATGTAAACCTCGCCGCTCTCGTCGTAGTAGCCGATGTCTCCGCTCAGAAACCAGCCTGTATAGAAAATTGTATTTACTTTCTTGTTTTTGGAACTGCTTCAAAATTATAAATTATAAGTTCTGATCTTCACCATCTTCGTCGAACGTATCTTTCGTAGCTTCCGGATTCTTGTAGTAACCGGTCATGAAAGACGTGCCCTTGAAGCAGATTTCTCCGGATTTGTTGGGGCCGAGACTCTCTCCGCTCTGCAAGTCCTTCACTTTCATCTGTATGCCATCCATCAGATAACCTATGGACGAACTGTTTCTGGTACTTTTCAGTTGTGCCGTGCCACAACCTATTTCGGACATGCCTGTACGTGGGAAAACCATCGATGATTAAAACACGAATTTCGGTTTACGGTCGCGCGGTATGAATTAATTACCGAAAACTTGCAAAACGGCTGCGTGAGGTACTCGACTCTTGAATTCTACCAATATACTCTCGTGCATCTTGGAGCCTCCAAAGAGGACGCGTTTCAACGATTTCAGATCGTACTTTTGCAGAATATCCGATTTGCAGAGCAGCGTTATCTGAGTCGGCGTCAAAAATACTACTTCCACCTGTCGAAATTTAAAATTCTCATGATCGTTGCTAATTTTAGCAAAGATAAGATAATTGATTAACGACTGGTTACGATTGACGTAACGTAAATGTCACACGTGTTTCTAAAAAAAAGTATATATCAAACTAGCAAGTAGATCGCATATTAACTGTGTTATTACGTCTAATTGTCATCAGAGCTATCATTACGTCATTTTTTTGTTCACAATCGCCAACCTTGTATTTCTCGATGACTGCGCAAGTCTCCTCGAGGTGAAAACTCGAGTGTATTATTCTCGTGCCGTAGCTGAAAATCTGACGACAGAGAAAGCCGATGTACGTGATCCAGAGCGGAGTGGAGTACCACATAACCACGCCGTCGAAGGGATTGAAGCCGAAGGTGACGATCATTTTGAGCATGTGGCCGTACGAGTGCTGTATGCCCTTGGGATTGCCCGTGCTACCCGACGACAGGACGATGATGGCTGTGTCCGCGGGATCGGCGCGTTGAGGCTCGAATGACGCTACTTCCTCGTCGGTCGACTCGAGCAGTATGTCTTGCAAAGATCGACATCTCGGGTCTCTGCCGTAGACGATCACTCGAGTCCGGCAGCCCTCGAGCTGGATGGCCTCGAGGAGGACGTCGACGGCACCCTCGTGGGCGAATATCACCTTGGGCTCGAAGAATTTTAGGAAGTACCGGGCTGGCTCTGGGAAAGGATCGTACGCGATGTATATATCGATCGATCGATTTCTCATATGTCATTCTTACTCAGGGCGATCTGGTGGCTCCAGCCGTTGTAGGTCGCGCCGACGAAGAAGGTCGCCAACACGGGTATATCTGTGTCGGGACGCGGATAGGTGCAGTAGACCACGATGTCCTTGGGGCCGATTCCCTGCTTCTTCATCCAAAGGGCGCATCGCACGCTCGAGTCCAGCAGTTCGCCAAAAGTCGTCTTCTTTCCGGTCTCGGCTTCGATCTAAATATATACATATCGCGAGGTCGTGAACGATATCGTATTATCACCGGATAATCGTGTTTACGATTTTATATACCTGAGCCACGTGATCCGGTTTGCTCTTGAGCGTGCGAAAAATAGCATCGCCGAAATCGCCGTCGATGCCCCGGTAATTTGCATCCGCTCCCTTGATCACGTTATTCTCGATCGTGATGTTCGGTTCCTGCAAAAGGTGTAAAATTTTTCTCGGTGAAAATTAACCCGAAGAAATTACGTCGTTGGATTCGCACGGATCTGCTTACGCTTTTATTGGGAAGTTCCACGATCATGATGACAAGTAGTTTCTTCGACGCGTAAAGTGGCACTTGTTACTCACGCACTATATAGTCGTAGACTGAACACACGCGCACTGATGGCAGCAGCTTTTCATACATAGGACTGATCTGTCTCTTTAACCGCGTCGAATGGCTCGTATATATAACAAACATTACGAGAGAGAAGAAGTGGGATGCTCGCAATAAGGCGCGATGATGCGTGTAAACTTAATAGGCAGAAGAGCGAAGATAAAGAGCCGCGCACGTATCGCCGTGTGTAAATAAAGTTGTTATAGATTTTTTTCTTGTATCTCGTGAACGTGTGTACGCGAGATACATTATATGAATGTAACAAAAATAAAATCCGCGATAAACAAGCAAAATTAGAAAATCATTGTTGGAGTTGTGAATTGCACTTTTCATGTGCCGAGTCATTCGCGCGATCGACGTCTTGTACGTATATTGCTCTGCGAATTTCGTCATTTTTTTGTTCTCTGACGTAGGAGCTGATTGAGAGATCGCGTGCAGCGGCGAAATACTGCGCAAATACTCGCGAGATGAAGAGATCTAGATCCCTGGTAAAGGTGGTCAATGTTAAGAATGGCCTAATGATCGAGAAATGATCATTAAACATTTTTTTAAATACTTGATTGTTTTTTTGTTTATTTTTGGCGATCTTTTTGTAACAACAGAATTTAAAAAATATGAAGAGCATATTGAGCAATCTCGAATTGAAAATTGGATTGTTTCAAAAAATTTCAACCAGTTTTCAATCACTTTAAATCTATTAGTACCACTTTTCACCGCCAGATGGCAAATACCATTAACAGTAAATCCACAAGCGGCAAAGTAAAAATAATTGTATAAGGCCAAGCGTGATTTCTGCCTCGTAAGTCACTTCTTCAATTCAAAAAAGAATTGTCTGAGGCTTCGCAAATCAAGAGAATAACAAACTAGTTATCCTGTGCAATTATAATTAATGTTTTTTTTGCGAAAAAGATGTGGAGAGTGCAGGTTGACGATGTTTCTCTTAAGGCTCGCTCGACAATGACGAATCTCGTCTTCTTTAAATAAAAAATTATCGATTGCCCGGTGGCCATGGTTACGTATCGGACAGAAACGAATACCTTCATTGATTCCGAATGCGCCATAGTAAGATTCATTTTTAAGTAAAAATCTAATTAACAAATTAAATTAAATTGAATTCTGATAGTTTAAATCTTTTAATTGTTTATTTGCACGAATATTATATAATTAAATATTGAAAAAATTGCTCCTCTGCTTAAGGGTTAAAGGGAGCGTAATTGTCTTTCATTTTTCATTTACAGTATTAGACTGTAAAATTGAAATGAATTGACTCCTTAAACTGTAAATAAAACATGAACAACAATTAAGCCCACTTGTAACCCTTAATGTATGATCAAAAAACCTTTTTCATTAGCCTCAAACTATCGTTGTTTTTTAATACAAGAAGACGATATTACTCACCTTTTTCTACGCAAGTAGGCACACAGTCTCGTACGGTCGAGCCCTCGCTCACGTATTTCTGCAAAAATACAAGTGACCACAGATTAGCATTACGTACATGTAAGCGGTGCAAAATTGAAATATATCATTATCGTTATCATATTATGCAATGTTCATTAATTCGCGCGCCGGATGCAATTTGGCAAATTTGATTTCGTCATTTTCTTTTCTGCGGGAATTTTCTTCCTTTTTTTTTCAAGTATCGTCATATCCCAGCACCTCCCGCAGAGATGTCGTGGTTTAATGCAATCAACGAAGGCCAGGGAAAACGTGACGAAATTTCACAAATCTTCATTACACGCTCGCGCGAGCGCCGGAATTATACACGAGCGATAAATATGTAATTCGCCGAACGTATATAGTATAACATTGGGACCGCAACAGCTGCAGAAGCGGCGCGTCCATAAATACACGAAATAAAATTATTTCAATGCGATTGCGCGAATTTTTGCGTGCACAATGGAAAAGCACTCGGATGGCGCATAATGAGGTGCATTTTGTGCCGCGCGACGATGCGGACAGACGGACGGACGGCGGTGAGATGCAAATCGTCGATACAATATATAATAATATCGTGTCAATTCACGCGGCAGCGAAAAATGTTTCAAACTAGCGAGTTATTTTTATATATGAAAAAAAAAAAACAAATATTATGTCAGGGGAATAAAGTGGGGTAATTATGCTTTTTCCAACTCTCGTAAACGAAGGCATTACATTCGCACGCAGTAGTGGGCGCGCGCGCATGGTCCCCTTCAGTCGAGTACATAATACGCGAGCACAAGCGAATTATCTAAATGTATTTTCAAGCGCATAAACACCAAGGGTAGTTACACAGGGGCGGCGGTAGCAACTGTACTGGCTCTCTAGTGCACGAGAGGGAAAGAGAGAAACTGCACAGCAGCAGCAGCAGCAGCAGCGAGAGAAGAAAATAAAATGAAAAAAAAAACCCACGAGAATTTTAATATTTATATATCTATTTACGTTGGTGCGAGAGAGCGTGGCGCAGCGCAGACCGCAAAATTTTAAGCTGAGTATACGGCCGATTAACGAGGCGCGCATGCACACAGTGTGTAACTGTTTAATATAAGCTTCGCGTGTATGTGTGTGTGTATGTATAAGGCAGCAAGGCAGACCGAGAACACACACTCGCACACAAAAGGGCGACGTATAACGATTGGCCGTAAAATTCGTGCGCTTGCAAGCTCTCTACTCGCTAAAGCGAAAGGTTAATTTTGCGACGATACGTTGCGGCAAAAGCTGCGCGGCTCGTATACAATGGCAGCTCGTTAGAACGTTTACTCGCCTTAGACTTTGGGCTCTCTCTCTCTCTCGGCGGGTGAAAATTACAGATTCAATAGAGATTGATCTTAATCGCTTTTGCTTTATTGTATCGCCGCTCGGCGGCTTATATACACGTAGCTATATACATGCATAGAGAGAGAGAGAGAGAGAGAGAGAGAGAATTGCCGCTGCGGTATATATACCTTATGTACACGCCACGTGTACGTAACAATGTCGCGCTTATAACCGAGCGCGTACGAGCTTGCAAGCTCGGTTCGTCGCAGCCGCGTATCATAACGCATTATAAGCGCGCGTATAATTCACCGGAAAACACCGCGCCCCCGCGTACGCACTCGATCACTCGATATACTGCTGCCGCTGTTACGTCACAGGTGTGCTGCATGGCTGCTGCTGATAATTTTTATCGCCCGGCGTCCAGTGCTACATTATACGCACGCAAGCACACGCGTGCGTTCGCAAATTGTCGTACGCGATACACATATATATGATGCGCGATGTAGTCGATCTGCGAATATTTTTTGTACATGATTTATCGTGACTCGCATGGGGGTACTGCGCGTGTGTACTGGTATTTTTATCGGCCTACGCGACAGAGAGAGAGAGAGAGCTTTTTTTCCATTTGTCAGGTGACTTTTAGCGCGATTCGTTTTGTTTTGCGCCGTTGAGGGTGTGGTTTTTAGGTTTATCGTTATCGCCAAGTCGATTTTTGTATATGCATATCTGGTGGCTATATACGTACGCGAGACTGCATAATCAATGGATTCGTTATTATTATGATTATAATTTGGAAATGGTATATTGTTGTTCTGCCCACCCTCCTAAAAAATTTTTATTACAATTATGTGTCGCTGTTGTGCAGGTGAGTCTTATTTGAGACGTCGTTTGGCCTTGCCATTACTGATACAAATACTAGTTAGTACCCAAGTTACCGCTAGATGGCTTATGGCCGAATCGTTAGAAATCGAAAGAGAAGTAGTAAAGCTCTTGAAATATATCCGTTTCGTTAACAAAAAAAGGTGAAAGTCTTTTTTGCGTGCCCAGCGGCCCTGACCCCCGCAAAATGTTCATAGGACCTCCAGAAGTGAAAAAAAACGCGTGAACATGAAGTTTGAAAATAGTTAATTTTTTTTGGGGCACTTTTGTGTTTTAGACGCCGAAAAGTCATCTTTTCACGCAAATACGACTTATTGCTCGATTTCCAAGTCGTTGAAAAAGTATCAAAACTCATCTGAAAAATTTAACTGACTACTGTATTCGATAGGAAATTTCCTCAGCTTTTTGATTATAGTATCAGATTTCCCGAAATATCCAATTTTCGCAGCGAAAATCGCCATCAAAAAATTTCACCTTTTTTTGTTAACGAAACGGAATTTTATTTTGAGATTTGACCATATATAGGGTGATACGCAGTGATTATTTGCATTAGCTTTTCCACCGAAAGTGGTGTGTGCAACAGAGAGAGCGAAGCGCATTGGTTTAATAGCGCATCGGAGTACGATCCAAAGGCCCCTTTCCCTGTCGCATATCGTACCATAGTTGAAATACTATAATCATGCTAGAGTACAGAACATAAATATCAAGCGTGTTTCTGCAAAACTTTTGGCCAGGTTATAATGAAAAAGTAATTAAATTTAAGTCAAGAAAGCCGCGCGCGCACATATCTCTCTCTTTCCCTCGTCGCGTATATATACGAGCTATAGGTAAGAAAAGCAGCTACACACGCTCGAGAGTTCATAATCGCAGTCGAAACTACACACACGCGCGCGCGTATATATAATATAGCTGCCACAGCTCTTGTATTTCGATCGTAAATCATCAAAGTTGAGCACACGAGAGAGAGGAGAAACACCGCAGCCTCGCGAGACAATCGCGAGTAGGTAGCGAGGATATGAGCAGCTAATGTGTACGTGCCTCGGCGTATAAGGTGCACTACGACGCGATGCGCTGCGGTACGATGCAGCAACCGAGAGAAACTTCCGCGTAAGTTACATTATATCTCTCTGTCTCTAGTCGAGGAAAAGGTCAGAGCTATATGAGGCTTGTAACAGGCAGTACGGAAGAGAGCCAAGTATTATACTAGTAGTAGTATACGTAGTGTATATTTAATACTTGTTACGGGGCTCCGCCGCAGAACAAGGCTTCAATTTACTTTTGTATCGTCATCAACAACATCGCGCGCGCGAAATCACTGACGTTATATATATAATAATAATAACACTCCGATCGTCGCGGGATTAATTATATACGTCGCGGCGCGCGCTCTTCAATAAAGTATATCAGTGACGCACTCGCATTACGTTTGTGATTTTGCGCGAGATGAAAAAAAAAAATGAAAGAAAAAAAGAAATCAACGGTCTAATTGTCGAAAAGGAGAGAAAAGGCGATGATTTATAATTATAAGTCTAGTTCGTTATGGAGGCCGATCACGTATCAGAGCCGCCGCCGCTGCTGCTGGCGAGCTCGAGAGTCAAGTGCGATAATGAGAGTATCAAAGAGAGAGAGAGAGAGAAGTAGCCGCCACTGTATACCGTGCAGGAGGGTAGGTATATATAACGCAGAC